GTTTAGAAAGCATAGATAACTCTTTCAGATATTGTAACAATTATGGAACTGAAGAGCAGTATCTTCATTTCATCAAATGACCAATGTTTGAGTATATTGACAAGAAGTACTTTGATTTTTGTGATTTATTTCAGACTTACAAGAAGGGAGGGGAGGGGAAGGGAGGGAAGGAGAAGAGGAAGGAAGATTTTTGATGCTCCCTGCCAGCTTCCCAAGTAAAGTAAATAAGGAAGCTAGCATGAATTTGGAAGTTGCTTGTGAGGCTTTTTTGCTTGCCTGGGATCATTCTGTTTCTTTGTCTGAGTAAGGAAATATCTCTAAAAGGATGACTCACTGGGTCACAGATTGTCTTGTAGGTTGCTAAATATATCAAAACATAATAGTAAGAATGAACACATAGGATAAAAAAAAGATTTGGAGAGATATTTATTGATATCATCTAGATATTTATAATCTTTCTTCTATCCACCATCAATCATTTACCTATCCCACCTCTCCCTCCCTCTCCCCCTCCCTCTCTCTCTCTCTCTCACACACACACACACACACACACACACACCTTTTTGTAGTTACAAATAGTTAAAGCCAACAAAGGTGTTCAAAAATCAAAAGATAAATAATAGCACTAAGACCAACACAAAACTATAAAACCATAACCATTGATTGTGACCTATCTCTCACCAGCAGCCCTTCTAAAATTTTGCAGTCTACTTCATGAGATCCTATTAAACACATTCTAATATTCCATACTATTAAGTTGTTAAAGAGAAAAAAAACATGTTTAGCAGGTTCATAATCAATAGATAAAAGACATTCTACTGAAAGCCTACATGACATAAATGTTTATTCAGCTACCAATTTCCAACTCAGTGATCAGTTATCTGCTACGGGAAATAAACCTTTTAAGAAAAATTGTTTCTTATCTAAATGCATTAACCTTTCCTAGGTTGAGAAAAGATATATTGAGAGCTTGGTGCAATGTTTTCCCTTGTTTACTTTTGTGAAGTAGATCTTCTCTAATCCCATGAGTGGAATTTTTATCTGCTCTCATAGCTGAAGCAACAGTCTCCCCATAATGGAGGGTCTCCTAGGTATCTAATCCTTGAAGGAGAATCTGAGATTACTTAGTATCAAGCGGTCCTCCATCTTGGCTAAGCACCGTATGTAAGAACTTTAGTATTGAAGTATTTGTGAAGTAAATAATTCCCACTAGTAACATGGATAGGACAATTGAGATAGAAGATAAATTAAAAGGGCTTGAGTGTAAAATAACAAAAGGCTTTTAGGGCAGAAGAACATTGTGGTTTAAAAGCATTCTGGTGGCAAACAGAATCCACAAAGAATTTGCAGAATGCCCAGGTAATCAATACCATAAGGAATTACACCCAAAATAAAAACCCACAACTGGAGTCTCTTTGCAACTGCATTGTGGCAAATATAACTTATACCAGTAAATCAACAGTTTCCTGGCAGGAGACATTTTTTAATAGCACAGCCAGGATTAAATCTTGTCACTCAAGCCCTTAACTGACATGGGTCAAATAGCCATCTAGAAGTGATAAATAGGCTCAGCTGTTAATATTTCCCAATGGCTTAGTCATTTTACTGACGCTGTTTTCCACATCTTCATTCTCCTCTTCCTATTTTTAAAAATTAATTTACAGGGATGGAGGGGGGGTAGATATTATCAGTGCCTAGTGACTGAGAATTGTAGATTTATTTTTTTAACTTAAAAACCAATTTTCAATCTTCTTACAAATAAAATGTTATTTCTTCCCAAATGCCTGAAATATCAGCAGTGACAAAAAGTGCATTTCATTTTATTTTTATTGCTGTAAGGATGGCATTATTCACATGAGTTTAAAATGCAAAACTGCACACGCGCACTTGTTCATATATATTAGGAGAAAAGAGCAGTTGTGAAGTAAGGAAAGGAGGGAGAAGAATATTAATATAATATAATATATAATTAATGTAATGTAAAGTTAAGAAAGAGCCACCTAGATCTATAAAGTGAGAGTCAAAAGTTACTAAGTGTACCAGTGAATCATAAATATTTACACATATTCAAAGGGTGTTCATCCCAAAGTTAAATGTCTATGTAGATTCCCAGTCATGCAGGTCATAATTGTTCTATGGAAGCTTCTTGAATGAGTAGCAAAATGTCTTCGAAGAAAAACCAGACAGTCCAGTTGCCTCTTGAAAAAGCCTCTTTGGGACAACCATGACCTGGATGACTGAGAATCTCCATAGACATTTACACACATATAAAACCATAGTAGGTTGAAATTTGGGTTTTTCCTCTGTTGGAAAAGCCTTTACCAAAGTTACTGGAATGGATTTCTGTTATGCCACTTAGTTACTCAAATATTCAAAGTGGTAGACAAATTTATATTGTAAAATGATACCTGAATCTACTTTGGAAAGATGGACATGGACATCATTGACTCAATTGTGAATTCTGGTGACTACTTTTACACATCCATTGTTTTCTTGGCAACATACATGAATTGTTTACCATTGCAGCTTTTCAGTATGTGTGTGTGTGTGTGTGTGTGTGTGTGTGTGTGTGTGTGTGTGTGTGTGTGTGTGTGGTTTCAGGTGGTATGCCCCGGTAAGGTGGTATGCCCCGGTAAGCGCGTACCAGTGCCTGCCGAAAGCAGCAGCCACTGTACTGGAACGGTGCTTTGGAGAGCCCGCCTGCCTGGCTGGCCGCCCTTGTTCCTTACCTGTATTTGAAGGAAATAGGCCATTTGCGCACACATGTGCCGTATACGGCACCTGTGCAATGCTCCGCCGAGCAGCTGGAGCGTCGCAGGCAGTGGGTGCGCATGCATGTGCAGCGCGTATGCCTGTGGTACACGCCCGACCCCTGTTGCAGTGTACCGGTTGCAACGGGAGCCAAATCCCACCACTGGTGTGTGTGTGTGTGTGTATTCTGACTTCTAGTTTAGCCTAGATCCTGACATTCTCTGCAGATCTCTGAGCTAAGCACTAATTAACCTAACTTTACTTAGCTTTTATGCCCAGACAATATCAGCCGGGTACTGCCATCTGCTGCAATTAAATATGTCTACAAAATAGCAATTCAATCATTTTAAAAGGTAGATCATCTTGCACTGATTGATAGAAGGGCATTTGTGTAAGTTATGAGAAGTAAATACATGAATAAAACATTTGGGATGTGAGCACATCTGAGTCAGCTTTCAGAGGTTGACTGAACAAAATGTACTGTGGTACAAACTGAAATATTTGTACTTACTGGGCTAGCATAAAAAACAAGCAGTGATTAGACACTATGGTGATTTATTTATCAAGCACTAGTAAAATCACTTGCAACAACTTTTTCAAAAGTTATTTGAATGTCTTGTTTTCCACGACAGCCACGTAGTCAATCCATTTTATGGCATAATGTTATCATTTTCTCACATTATAGTTCTTTTTCATGAATTACATCATTAGAAGCTGAAAACAGTAGCTAAAGAAATGTAATCTTTTACTTTAAAACTTAAATATTTTTAGAAGATTCAGATGCAGTGCTAAAGAAAGCCCAAATTAAAGACATTTTACAAATGCAATATGCTTTAAGCCAAAAAATAAAATAAAATAAAGTAGACTTATTTCTATCAGCAGAGAAAAGTGTGAAAAAATCAGGATAAAGTACAGGTGTACCAACCCGACTATCAACCATTCCAGTGAACCTGGTTAAAAACAACGCTCCAAAATAAACATCAGATGGAAAAAAAATGATAAATGAGTGAAGTGCTTAAACAAATAAATAATAAAAAGCTTAGCTTAATCCCATGAACATGGTTGCTATAATTACACATTATAATATTCTTTGTGAGCACTTGAGATTTGTGTGATTCCCTCAGCACGATTTACATAGTTGGGGGGGGTGTGTGTGATGTGACACCTTTATATCAGTACGGGCAAATGAGACTTGAACTTTCTCTTAGCATCCACTTTTCACTCAAGGTCCTTGAAATCATGTACATTTCTCCCATCTAGCACTAATTCCAGAAAGACTGAGGAGAAAATTGCCTGGCTTTTCACAGGAGACGGTAAGGCCAGAAGGTGAATAGGTCTTCACACCTCGGTCTTCTATCACTACAAATCTCAAACTCTCACTGTCTGATTTATGGGATAATAGGACAGACATGAAAAAAAACATGCGTGGCTGTCTCAATAGCTCTCTCAAAAAGGTTTCTTGAAAGTTCTGTTTCTGTTGAAATCCGTCTTCCCTGATTTTTCTTCTCCCACAAAAGACACTTCAAGTTGTTCTCTTCTGGAAGAAAGGTTAAGATTTAGCTTGGAGGAAATGGCTTTTGAACTTACACTATGGAGAGGGAAATGACCTGAGTTACTGTCGTTGACAAATTAAGCATGCCACAACCATGATTGATTAATTGAGGAGCTCGGTTTGTCTTAGTGTATTGCAAGTCATGCAGGCTTGGCCATATTTCTAAAAAGTAGCAATAATATTGTGTCTTTTGTTTGATCAGTCACAACAGTCCATTTGTAGAAAATACTGCTAGGAAATATATTCCTATTACACAGTTTCCTATTATTGTGCCACCATTTTGTTTTCTATCCTTTCTGATTTTATATATTTATATAAAGCTTATGCATGCATGCATAAACAGATGACTTGTCTTGGAATTTGTTAAGTCCTCGAGGCTACGACACCATTGACTTGCATTGCTAGCTCCTGATTGGCTAAGACGCGAGCAACCAGCTGGCGGGAGAATCCAGCTANCCAGTGTTTCTCAACCTTGGCCACTTGAAGATGTCTGGACTTCAACTCCCAGAATTCCCCATCCAGCATTCGCTGGCTGGGGAATTCTGGGAGTTGAAGTCCAGACATCTTCAAGTGGCCAAGGTTGAGAAACACTGCCTTTAACCGTAAAATCAGGTCGCATTCTTGCTCGACCCCAATTGTGGTTCTTCATCCCAGCGACCCACAAAAACTTTGTCGGTGCAAGCAGAAGCAACGGAGAACATGTCCCATCTTCCACAACCCTGATTTCCTTTTCTTGTTGAGATGAATTCTGCCCCCTTTGGGGGCAAAAGTATAAAGAAACCCCACCCCACGGGGGCAGCCGAGACGGACACCTTTGCCAAAATCGCCAAAGGAAGCTCGGTGGTCCGTTAATTCGGTTTCCGGAGATGCGGCCGCTTCGGGCTTTCCGGTCAGTTGATGGGGTCGTAGTCCGAACACGGCTTCTGCTGTCTGGTGAGCATCGCCAGGCTCCCCACCAGTAGAAGTACCACCGGCGTGCCCAGCGCCACGGCAAGGATCACGATGACCAGCAGGGAGAAGCCCTCTCTCTGGGGCTCCCCAAAGCCCACCAAGGCAGACCTGGAGGGAAGAGACCGAGGGATGGGAAAGGCGTCATTGCAGAGTCCTTACGGTTCGCTTAGTGACCGTCCAAAAGTTACCAATGGCAATGAATGCAAAGTGAGTCCTTACAGAGTAGTCCTCAACTTACAATGGTTTGCTTAGTGACTGTTCAAAGTTACAACGGCACTGAATGCCAAATGAGTCGTTTACAAGGGAGTCCTCGACTTACAACGGTTCGCTTAGTGACCGTGCAAAGTTACAACGGCACTGAATGCCAAATGAGTCCTTTGCAGGGTAGTCCTTACAACGGTTCGCTTAGGAACGTTCAAGGTTATAACGGCGCTAAATGCAAAATGAGTCCTTACAAGGTAGTCCTCGACTTACAACAGACTCATCAGCCAATGAATAAGGCTTAGTAACAAGGTCAGCCAATGGGAGCTGAAGCCTTTTGGAACCGGGGTGTGGCTTAGCTGTGAACTGAAACTGAAAGGAAGTCATTCCCTGTATAGTCTGCCTGTGTTTGAACCTGCTTACTGTCTCTCCTCTCTACCACGCAGGAAGAATCTGCTGTGGGTATTGTACATTGACTCATGTGGTCTTATGTACCGTATTTTTCAGAGTATAAGTCGCACCGGAGTATAAGACACACCAAGGTTTTGTTTTAAAGAGGCAATTTTTTTAAAAAAAGTAGGTAGGTAGATAGAGGGAGAGAGAGGGAGAGAAAGAGAGAGAAATACAGTAGGTAGGTAGGGAGAGAGAGTAGCTAGGTAGGTAGGTAGATAAAGGGAGAGAGAGAGAGAGAGTCAGTATGTAGGTAGGTAGGTAAAGGGGAGAGAGAGAGAGAAATAGAGAGAGAAATACAGTAGATAGGTAAGGAGAGAGAGTGTGTAGGTAGGTAGGTAGAGGGATAGAGAGAAATAGAGAGATAGAGGAATACAGTAGGGAGGGAGGGAGGGAGAGAATGTGTGTAGGTAGGTAGAGGGATAGAGAGAGAAATAGAGAGAAAAATACAGTAGATAGGTAGGGAGAGAGAATAAGTAGGTAGGTAGGTAGGTAGGTAGAGAGAGAAATAGAGAGAGAAAAATACAGTAGATAGGTAGGGAGAGAGAATAGGTAGGGAGGGAGGGAGAGAGAGAGTGGGTAGGTAGGTAGGTAGATAGGTAGGTAGAGGGATAGAGAGAGAGAAATAGAGAGAGAAATACAGTAGATAGGTAGGGAGAGGGAGTAGTTAGGTAGGTAGGTAGATAAAGGGATAGAGAGAGAAATAGAGATAGAGCGATAGAGAAATACAGTAGGTAGGTAGGGAGAGAGTGAGTGTAGGTAGGTAGCAGTGGTGGGTTCCGGATCCCGTTCCAACTGGTACGGTTGGAATGGGCCCGGCGTCACCTATATGGACATGCGTGATGCGCGCATGCGTCATACCTTCCTGCGATGCCTTTGCAAGCTTCCGCAATGCTCCAGCTGCTCGACAGAGCATTGCGCAGGTGCGCAACGCGTGGAAGCGCCAAAGGCTTAAAGGACAGGTAAGGAGCTTGGGCAGGCGGGTGGGCCCTCCGGAGCACCGTACCGATACACGGTCCTCTGGGCAGGCTT